TTGAACCCAAGAGGAGCGTGCTTCTTCTTTCTGACAATGAGATGCCTATCGGCTCTGTCTTCGTGACTCACTTCGGAGCACAATGGGGGTTAGCGCCAATCGATCTCTCACATGATGAATGATAGTTCCAACTCTTAAGGCAGATTTCGGACCCGAAACTCCAATGGTTTTCACAGCCTTTCTGTATATACATTTTTCAGAAAAATGACAATAGCAGTATTAACGAGTTTTCAGACTGGGGTTAACACATGAAAGCACGGTAGATATGGAGTCACTGTTTCCAAATATCTTTCCGCATGAGTCTGTTGATACTGCGTCACAACTACCTCGAACAATCTCCATTGCAGTAGAGGTTCTGAAGAGCTTGTTTCTGATGTGCACTAAGAAGCTTAAGTTCCAGTCTCAGTATTCATTCTACGGAAAATTCGTTTGAGTAGTTTTGGGCGATCCATTAAACCCATTTCCATCGAACACTTATTGTTGTGACAAAGAGATTTTTGAACCACCTTATTTCAGAGCGTTGCATTATCGGTGACGGGCTATTCATTTCCAGCTATAAAGCATGGACCATGGGGTTCGTCCAGAGATTCAATAATATTCATCTAAATCTCATAGTAATCGCTTTGGGTCCTAAACCTGTTTCAGGAGTTAGAACTGTCTTTCATTATATGAGAGATCGATTGGCGCTAAACCCCATTGTGTATATCACTTTATATCTAGCTCCGGAGTAAGTCACGCAGACAGAACCGATAGGTATCTCGTGGTCAGAAAGAAGACGCACGCTTCTCTTGGGTTCAAAACATACCGACCAGATTTCAGAGCGTTGCATTATCGGTGACGGGCTATTCATTTCCAGCTATAAAGCATGGACCATGGGGTTCGTCCAGAGATTCAATAATATTCATCTAAATCTCATAGTAATCGCTTTGGGTCCTAAACCTGTTTCAGGAGTTAGAACTGTCTTTCATTATATGAGAGATCGATTGGCGCTAAACCCCATTGTGTATATCACTTTATATCTAGCTCCGGAGTAAGTCACGCAGACAGAACCGATAGGTATCTCGTGGTCAGAAAGAAGACGCACGCTTCTCTTGGGTTCAAAACATAAAAACCGACCAGAGATCGGGACAATTGGCAATCCACAAACATCTTCCGGTCATAGGTCATGAAATTGATTTTACCTCAGCACTCGCCATTTCTCTCAGTCAACAGAACTCACGTGTTCTCAATTTCATTGAGGTCGCTGTAATCAATAGACTCATCTTCATTGTGTCCGGAAGAAACTCGCGACTAACCCGCTTCTATGGGGACCATGAAAATTTATAGTTCTTGTTACTGATTTAACGCGGAATGTGTGGATTTACCAGTTTCTACAGGAAATTGCTGACTGTACCGTCGTTGTCCCACTTCTTTATGTAAGGTTTCTTACCCTGCCATCTCTTATAACACGAGGCAACTCTGAAGCTCGGTGACCCTAACTAGCCGATGTCCTTGCTTAAATTAGCATATTCCTTAGACCTCATCCTCTGGTGGTAAAGAAACACTACATCGGTACTTCGGATCTGCGCTGACCCTGGAATCGCTAATGACAAAATTCCACACATGTTAGTGATCGGCACTAGCTCGTGAGTTCCTCATTCCAGAGCTTACGAGTGAACTAGCTAGGCCGATTGGGTGTGACACCAAAAGCAAGTTATTTGAATAAAACGGGCTAATGCATACTTAAAAATGTGCAATTGCATTGAATAAAACCTGGATATCCGCTACGTTTCATTGACTCACAGAATATGTTTACATCAACCGGTCTCACATATTTTGTTATCCTGCGTCTCACTTTCCAACTGGAGCCGGAAAACTGAGGACGGGCCTTGCATTGGGAAACACCGCAAACTCCCCTATGGGCTGTACTACTTGCAGGATTGGTGCGACATCATTATTTTCCCGGTGCTTCACCACCTAGAATACGCTACCTTCATAAGCTTCCAAAAGCAAGCCGCCGCTGTCAACATAAAGCAACGAAATCGGAACAAACATGCGAGGGAACCACAGTAGAACGCCTGACCGGAATGTCACCGACGCATCAGGCTCTCAGACGTAGAACCTGTCCCAAGTTGGTGGTTACGGATGCGAGTTGTACTCACCGACTTGTTGTGGTGCTGTAGTGCAGCCACCTCGGGCGCTTACGTCAAGATAGCCCTACACCAACTGTCTCATTTTTCTCCATTATGCAGCTTTATTCAAATAAGTTGATGTTGCTGACAGTGACGGTGGGGATGATGAGGGAGAATAACTCTTACCAGATTCGCGAAGGTATTGGTGGCGAAGCGGTGTCAGATCGAATCTGGTAAATTTCACTGTCGGATACTGCCATAGCGGCCATACACAAACAGGAGGGAGACTAGGCTCCTCAACAAAAACTGGTTCTCAAGACATTCGGAAATTGGCACACACTTCTAGTGGCACAATTTTTAAGCAGCAAGCCACCGTATATACCCCAACCGCCAATTTGAAGGAAAGGAGACTGTGTTCGTTAGAACTCTATTCATTGAGCAACCTGTGGACGTATAATAATAATTACCGAGTATAGCTCAGTGAATTGTTAGATCAAAATAAGGTCACATTACTTTAGGGTGGTTGAATATAAAGGTTTAATTTTTGCTGAAATAACTGCAATAAAGACATCGGGTCTGTCGGAACGCCGGTGGTACACTGAACGTACCGTCATTGAAAACGAGGTGCTCCGGCCCAAGCAACGCTCACAAGAAAGAAACAGCTCTGATACTTCCGGATTGGTCGCATATCATAAGCAATAAGCGAGCAAAAATCACTCTCAGAAAATGGTTCATCAAATTTGGCGCAATCTTTTTACATACATTATTTGATCCATTATCAACCAAACAAACACTTATTGCCCATCGTTGTCGTCATCATCATCATCGACAGCATGGTATCAGTGTTCAACAACGATGCTCCACTGACGTACAAACATGACTTATTTCAAAGCCTTATTGTGAAGAAAAGAATAAAGGTGGACGGAAAGCGACTTAATGCCAGCTTACTACAATCATTTCGAGGTGTCTACACCCCTAGACACTCATTCGGGCAATCTGGATAGAAACAAGAACGCCACTGACGTCGGTGGACAGCCATATCTTGTAATGTCTCCAGCGAGGCGCAGTGGGAATCACGCAGTCTCCATCCTGGAAGGAGAGTAGCACCGACAGCAACCAAGCTTTTCGTAATCTCCTTCACACCCCTCTCCCAGGTCAAGGGTTAGCCACCTCTGCTTCGCCAATCTGAGTTGGGCATGAAAAAACAGCACTCTTCGGCGAACGATGGTTAAGCAGACGCAACACATCCCAAACAACGTAGCTTCTGGTGTTGGGACACACCCTTCAATGGGAGTACCCGTTGTACAACCAAAAACTCGCTTTCTAACGGCCTTATTACGGATTCGCTGGCTGTTACCCATGGAGGTTATATCGATGTTTCGAAGCGTTTACTGAAAGTTGACACTTCACTCCAAAAAGATAGGTACAAAGCCCTATTCTTCATTTAACGGAATGGGCACAGTGACTGGTACAATGCTCAACGAAGGCGGAACGCGGAACCCGTGAGCTCAAACAAAAACGTAGGAACTGTCAACGAACGGAAAAAAATGGCGGGAATTTATGCCTTTAATATCATCTAGAGGGAACTGTTTTAGGACTGAAATTTATTTTCCGTTAACCACGAAGGACTTGGCTGAAGGTCAAGGAACCGTACGACAATCGGTGGCATTTCGATTTCACTAGAAGAAAAACTGGTAGCACTAATCATAGAGTTAACTAAAAGCTGTTTCCTAGATGATGCAATGGGCCATTCGTTCGCGAAGCGAAGGGAGCTTCTCACTAAAGCGACAGCAAGACTAATTAATGTTCAACAAGTTGCCAGAAATTCTTTATTTGATAAATCTAGTACGTATTCTGATCTACATTGGATGAACATAAGGCTTTCATTTCCCAAACCCTGAGCTCCATATTGCTTAGTGGTTAAGGTGCGAATTTATTAATTAGAAGGTCCGTGGTTCAAACCCAACCTCTGCCTGGGCTTGGGAAACCTGTCAGCATCTCAACCCTAGTGCCTCCTTCAGTGGCGTGGTAGGAATGCACCGAAAGGGTGTTGCAGATGAACGACTGATTCTTAACTCTGTTTCTATACAGTGGTACCCTGATCCCGGCATGCCCTTCGCGGTTAGACCGGGGAACAGAAAGGACTCACTGACCATTTCCGGATTACTACGACAACGGAAATGTAATCGTACAACAGTAGGCTTCTCGAAGTTCTTTTCTACAGCAGTAGGTCGAGTTGACCCTGAAACTCACAGTCATTCCCAATTTCAAACGATGCAACTTTGGTGCACTTTTGCCACTTGGATTTTGAAAAAACTGGGACATTTTTGACGCCCTATTAAAGGAAGTACCGTGAAAGGGTTCTATTTTGCAATGACCGCTTTTTTCATTTATTCTCCAATGAGTCGTCTTCCTTAAGAGTAAAATGAATCCAAGCGGGTAACAAAGACACGGAGCAGAGTATCATTTTTGGGTTCAGTGGAACCTGACGTCAGAAACCCGTAGACAGACTATTTATTTAGGCCATATTTCCACAGACGTCCGCCAACCGAGATGGGATATGGGTCGGATGTATAGACAAGTAAGGGTAAGGAGACAAAGTACAAAGGTATAGTGGCTCTTGGTTGTTTATAAGGCTGTAAGTCAATTTCCAGGTTCGGCGAGCAGATCAACAAGTAGCTCATCAACAACCAACAAAATCAGCCGGGTTGCCAATAATTCGGACAGTGGCACGGCCAACTGAGTTCGCGATGTCGATAAGACCCTCTATCCATCCTATGAGGATGGAAACGACCATGCGAGTCACAACAAAGCTTTCAGAGATACTAATCCATACCCACAATAATGTTATGGTGAGACGTCCACCAAGGGAGAAGTCCGTGGTGACATTCACGAGTATTTGTAAGCATTTATGGTATTAGTATTAGTAGTAATAGCAATAATAATAATAGTAATAATGGTAGGGGATCGGTTGGTTGACAAATGCAGAAAGACCGAAAACCGTCCTTTGCCAGAAGCGCTGGGGTCGGTCGGTATAGTTGCAGCCGTTTCGCGTTCTTATTCCCACTTCCATCGTCTACATTCCCTCGACAGCGGGCGCTGAGTGAAATGACTGGCTGTGTGTGTGCATGACAGAAAAATAACTGAACCACAACAAAAAGCCCATCGAAACGACGATAGGAGCGCCACCAGAATGAACGTAGTTGTAGAGAGGGAGAGACAAGCCAGAAAACCAATACGAGAACAAAACCACGTGGTTGTCTGAGTGTGCGTACTACAATTTTCTTGCGTGGAGGCCGGTTTGCCGTGAGATGGGAGTCATTCACAAAATGCCCACTGAATTTCTATTAGTTAGGGACCATACATACAAGCACACAGTTGGTAAACGAGACAAACCGTAGGACAGACAAACGGATTTCCATCAGCCCATTCCGCAGGTGTGTATGTGTGTGTGTGAACTGGTTGTCGGACCTTCAGTATAATGTGATGGATGGGGGTATAGAAAGGACAAAACAAGGTGATTAATGCGACTCGGTCGGTAGTCGCTGCATGCTTCCAAGACCATTTGATCTGGTATGTTTGGTCATGATAAAGTCAGCGCAGCCAGTAGCATCGGTGAAATGCGTTGAGGATGTACAAGGATCCAGACCCGTTTGTCCGGACAGCTCGCTGCTTACCGCGGTCGGCGAGAAAAAGCTCTGGGGGCAACCCAGACCTGAGGTAGCCACATCATACTGATCTGTGTGTTTGTCTAAGTGCAGTGAGCTGGAATACGACGGGTCCGAGCTGCTTGTGTGAAACGGTTGACTGAAAATTGGAGGATTTCGTTCAATTGGTGAGTGGGTTGAAACGAGATAGCCAGACGACAGCGCATCGTCTAGTCCCCAAATTGTCGATTCTGATGAAATCTGTGATGACGGATTCGAGTGGGAAATCGAACAAGCCTGTGAGCAGATTGGAATAAGACGTAACGGAGGGTTTAAACGGAGAGAAAAGACGAAATAAGTTCGCATTTTGGCAAGTATTTGGTAAAAACGTACGAAACCAGAGCTGGATTACAGGGAACGGATAAATAGGCTTGTCTGGCTGCCTCCTTGTTTACTGAGTAAGTGCTCTGCCATTTTCCAGCTCATCATCCAACTGTAGCAGTTGGAAATGATATAATGTTGGAGTTGACAACTGAGAAACCGCACTGAAGATAGCACAGGTAAAATAACTGTGGCACGACCTACCCAGTGTAGTGCACTATAGCTTTAAGTTTTCTAGACATGCCGATAGTGGTTCAAACAGGAATGAGGCCGCGAAAGTTGCATCAAAGATAATCATGCATGGGCAAATGCTACGCGAGGTAACCCCAAAGTCGACTTAGTTGCGCATCCACAGTAAGGTGAACAAGCGCACCGACTGTGAAACCGTTTTTGGGTTGAGAAATCAGGCTTGCTTTTGCGAATACCCAGATTAAATTTCTGCCCCAGTAAACGCCTCGAGAAAGCAGGGGAAATGGATCAGGTGCAAATTTCCCAGAGATGGCTAAACGCTTAAGCCACAAACTTACTGAATGGAAGGTCCGTTGCTCGAACTCAACTCTGTATCTCGACTGCTCCTAACTCTAGGCTTGGGCAACCTGACAGGATCACAACCTGCTTCATTTGATGCCGATAGTGGTTCAAACAGGAATGAGGCCGCGAAAGTTGCATCAAAGATAATCATGCATGGGCAAATGCTACGCGAGGTAACCCCAAAGTCGACTTAGTTGCGCATCCACAGTAAGGTGAACAAGCGCACCGACTGTGAAACCGTTTTTGGGTTGAGAAATCAGGCTTGCTTTTGCGAATACCCAGATTAAATTTCTGCCCCAGTAAACGCCTCGAGAAAGCAGGGGAAATGGATCAGGTGCAAATTTCCCAGAGATGGCTAAACGCTTAAGCCACAAACTTACTGAATGGAAGGTCCGTTGCTCGAACTCAACTCTGTATCTCGACTGCTCCTAACTCTAGGCTTGGGCAACCTGACAGTATCACAACCTTTGTGCTTCATTTGGGTGACATGGAAACTAGGTTCCAGAAGGTTGCCACAGCTGGACGACTTTTTCTCCACTGCGAATAACAGGTCTTCCGAAGACAGTGCCTTCGCGGGGTGAGTAGTGTGGCCACCCGAATTCTCAGTGAAAACCGTTACAGTCAACGTCTTTCGAGAATGAATCTTGGGTTTCAAAAATGTGCAAACGATATTGCTCGAAGTACGAATCCAGTGAGCCTTTGAGCTATGTCAAATCGGCATAGATTACATCCACCTACGAGGTGGATGCGAATCATTTTTTGGTGTAGTTATGGTCTCAACATCACACGAACTGGTTACAAACAAAGGAACAGCTTCTGTATGTTTAAACACATTACTGCGTAACAAAGTCATCGTCTAATTTTCTCGCAAGCCCTTGGAGTTGTCTTGCACGCATATAAAACAGGTCTTTGGTTAGCTACATTAATGAATCATTATGATGGGGAAACAGAGACGGAAAGCTTTTAAATGAAGCGGGAAAACAGGAAGGAACAATAAGTTGCATCACTTAGATCCCAAGTATGGTCTAGCACATGCTGATTACCAAGAATTTTTCCCCTGACACCATATCTTGCCTAGTTCATCTGCCCAACAGTGATTTTGGATTCTTCTCCACAACACCGCCCACTTTTAATATCCAAATTGCGCTGTTGCCAGTAAGACTAAAGGGACCGTCATCCCATGATCATCTCGACTCGAAATGTATGTATTCGATTTTTACAGTTCCCATACATGAAGGTAGCTAAGCCAAAAGCTAGAACTCGTTCTTGCAGCGAAACACGACGCCGTTTTTATTTAAAGGACATAACTAAAACGATGCTCAAGTTACCGCAAAATGGCAAAATGTTGCTTAACGGAGCATGATCAGCAAGACTTTATATAAGCATAGACTTGGTAGTGGCTTAGAACGTCCAGTGTTCGTTCACTACAACAGTAACCAAAAAGGCAACTTCCACTGTAAGGACAATGACCCAGTCAATTTAGCAAGCGCCAAGTTCATAAAAACGTATGTAGGAACTGACCGAGCAGTTACACTTTCTGAATTACTGCTGTATCGTACATGTTCCTCCTCGAGAGAAAAGTTGATGCAGTTGCGGAACGCAGTTAGTCAATTAACTGAACAGGTATCAATGCAAAGGAATTTTCTTCCATTATGCACTGTAATTCTGCTATAGAATTTCCAAGGATGACAGAAGAATAAGCCAATCGAGGCGCTTCACTGGAGTGACTACTGCATACAAGTGACCTCGACAACAAACGGCCAGTAGTGGTTTAGTGGGAGAATTCCGTAGGATATGGGAAAACAGGAGACAGTGATGACTCAGTGCCTAAGGACAACCTCACTCAACCGACAGACAACGGCTAAAGAACATGCAATATCATTGATGACCCGAGATAGGCTTACGCGTTAAGTGTTCCGTGCATCCAGGCGTAAACACACACACACACATATAAGTATGCACCTACCCGATCAATGTAATCAATATTCACTCCTAAAAGTAAGTTGAGAACGTGTTAGCATGCAACACTGTGGTATATGAGATTGTGTGCACGTCTTGCTAACGTCCACAAACTAGCCAGTTCGCGGCTTGAATTAAGTCCTTGCCAACGAGGGTAGGGAGATAACCAGACACTATCAGCAGGTGCGCCAGGAGGGAGTTGTATTTCAACCTTCGTATATCGTCGTTCCTTCTTTTCTTAGGCCTCACGATAAACACTAGGGTGTCTATGAAACTTCACATGACATTCATTACCAAACTGCTATATATGGACCATTATAAATGCCTTCACTGTGTGACCACAAACTATATCGTTTCGCTGGCTTACGAGCACACATACGTTGTCGGCTTCCAACATGTGTGAATTTTGAGTATCCTGCTCAGCTTCCAGAGCTACTCAAAAAAGTGTGCTTGGTACTTCAGTGCAATTGTTTGCACGCCTAAGTTTGCATTAACCTTCACGTGGTCCATGCTGTCACATGTGATCGAGTAACATGCCCATGGCCCACCCTCCACTTTTTCGGCCAGCTTACTGATCCAAGGGTAGTCTAAGCTGTAACAGGGACAATGCGGTCAATGAAAAACAAATCAAAAGAAACTGCTTGCCACGAAGCGCTAGGGTTCATATGACTTGGGGAAATAATCGCTGTTGGGTGACAGACACAGGAGGAACAGTATACTTAGAAACGCAACGGAAAGCGATGGGCCCATAATTCGAGGACGGTATCAAGGGTTTGCCACATCCACCATGTATCATGCGGCTCCCTTTCCTGAGTCCATATGACTACTGAGGCCCCGAATGACAGTCACCGGCCTAAGAAAAAATAGAGGTGATGTTGCAAGAGCAGACGGAATTCAGGGGGACCTTCAATAACGTAAGAGAACGTAACAGAACGTAGTGCGGTACCAAAAAGGACCCCGGATTGTGTTCGAGAAATGCAATCATTTGCAAATCAATTTGGTTTTCACGAGAGACTCAACTGAATCTCTCGTTTATGATGTCCTCCAGCTGAATGTGCTGCACACAGGCCGCCTCATGATTCAGTTGGCACGATATTCGAGATATCGCAGTATATTTTCACAAAGGAAACTACTCACAAGCCTGCTGAAATCTCTTCGACAGCCCACGACCGGTTTTGCCCTTCTTGGGGCTCATCAGCTGAAGGACATCATAGATGACTGTGAATTTTGAGTATCCTGCTCAGCTTCCAGAGCTACTCAAAAAAGTGTGCTTGGTACTTCAGTGCAATTGTTTGCACGCCTAAGTTTGCATTAACCTTCACGTGGTCCATGCTGTCACATGTGATCGAGTAACATGCCCATGGCCCACCCTCCACTTTTTCGGCCAGCTTACTGATCCAAGGGTAGTCTAAGCTGTAACAGGGACAATGCGGTCAATGAAAAACAAATCAAAAGAAACTGCTTGCCACGAAGCGCTAGGGTTCATATGACTTGGGGAAATAATCGCTGTTGGGTGACAGACACAGGAGGAACAGTATACTTAGAAACGCAACGGAAAGCGATGGGCCCATAATTCGAGGACGGTATCAAGGGTTTGCCACATCCACCATGTATCATGCGGCTCCCTTTCCTGAGTCCATATGACTACTGAGGCCCCGAATGACAGTCACCGGCCTAAGAAAAAATAGAGGTGATGTTGCAAGAGCAGACGGAATTCAGGGGGACCTTCAATAACGTAAGAGAACGTAACAGAACGTAGTGCGGTACCAAAAAGGACCCCGGATTGTGTTCGAGAAATGCAATCATTTGCAAATCAATTTGGTTTTCACGAGAGACTCAACTGAATCTCTCGTTTATGATGTCCTCCAGCTGAATGTGCTGCACACAGGCCGCCTCATGATTCAGTTGGCACGATATTCGAGATATCGCAGTATATTTTCACAAAGGAAACTACTCACAAGCCTGCTGAAATCTCTTCGACAGCCCACGACCGGTTTTGCCCTTCTTGGGGCTCATCAGCTGAAGGACATCATAGATGACAGATTCAATTGAGTCTCCCGTAAAAACCAAATTGATTTGCAAATGAGTGTATTTCTCGAAAACAGTGCAATTTGGCTTCAAGTAGATCATAAGGTTGACGGAAACTCGGGGACTGCGCCTACCTGATGAGCCCCAAGAAGGGTGAAATCAGTCGTGAGCTGTCGAAGAGTTTTCAGCAACGTTGTGAGTAGTTTCCTTTATGAAAAGCACTGGATTGTGTTAGCAAGGGGATGAAGGGGCCCGACTTAGGTTAACTGGGACGGAAACTAAGGTGATGTCTGCGAGATATGAAAAGAAAAAAGTATTTTTTTGTAAAAACCAACATGTGGTGAGCGATGAGAGTATCGTTGAAACCGGAGTAAACAGTACAGGTGGAGCAGATGCTGTCTCATTTTAGTTGAACCATCAAAATAACCACGCCAAGGATAAGTTGATTGATCAGTTTGTTAATGCGGATAGGTGCCGAACATAACTACGGCTGGTTCAGGTGATACCTGATTGCGTAATTAGTGATCTATTTCCTACCGTATCATTCCATTGTTGAGCTTGATACTATAGTCCGTAGCGGATAAAAAGTCAGATGCAGCATATGCATTGATCGTTCAATCGTGCCATATAATCGCACTTTTCCGAAGGGGTAGCACAAAAGTACATGTACACGGTGCGAATGAAAGGCGAATCACCAGCATTGTAGAGCGTCGCCTGGTTTTCAGAGCAGCAGTCCAAATACAACTCGCAAATGTATTCGAGGTTGTGGAGAATTTCACATATTTCGATAGACATATTAGCTCTCATGGAAGTGTATCTGCTGGAGTCAGTTCACGAGCCTTTAAAGCCCGAACCCCGTTTTCGTCACCTATCGCATCAAAGGGCATATCACTGGCCCACAAGGGTCACGTCTGCCAGGATAAACTTATGCCTACGTTGTTGTTTGGTTGCGAGAAAGGGCCGCTTCGAACAAATGATCTGAGGCGCTTTCAGGTTTTTGAAGACCAACGTCTCGGAAGCGCTGCCAGTAACGGATGGCGTCCGTGAATTCGCAGAGTTAAACAGAAAACGGGCATTCAGTTGTACAGTGAACACATCCGTTGCGGTAAAAACCCAGTACTATCAACTGTGGTGGCTCGTCATGAGACGAGTACTGCTCGCTGCGCCTCCTTCCGAATGGCACAGTCTGTGAGATGGGCAACAAGTGACTTGTCGGAATGGCGTCAAAGGAATTACGAAGGGTTTGGGTGTTGTTGGTGCCATCCCTCATCCACAATGGGGTCCCGGTGACCCTCTGTGTTGGCTGGAGACGTTGCAAGAAAATGAGGCTGATTGATGACAGTGGCATTCGTGCTGTCAGTTTCCTTCCATACTGTGAGACTGTGCATTTGAAGGTATAGGCATCTCCAGATGCTTTCAATAGGCTAGCACTAGACGCCTTCCGCAACTAGTCTTTCACACATACGAGGCTTTCTCCGATTTCGATCTGCCTATCAGACCACTTTTCCCTTCTGGTTCTTGCAGCGTCAGTTGATGCAGCAAGCGAAGAGTTACCTTGTCGGATTGAATATTTTGAAGCCGCATAGTTGTAGCTGGTGGCACTGGCGCGAAGACTCCAAGCCCATCAAGCCACTGGTTATTTCAAAATTGCAGTTATGCCGAACGGTGAGGTATCATACAAGTTGGGACGACCGACTGGGGCCATGTGTTGTGGTGGCAGGCTTTCAACAAACCCGTCAGGCCGGACAAGCCCAAATCCCTACACGAACGTCAGCGCACGCCCATATGTGAAC